CATCTGAGAGAAGCTCCATTAAGAAAAAGTCTCCATAAGACTGGGCTGTAGGCAGCTGTTGGACATTTTCTTAATTAGTGATTGATGGGGTGGGCCCAACACATTGTAGGTGGAACCCTACCTGGAATGTGGTCCTGGGTTCTATTTAAAAAAAACAAAACAAAACAAAAAAAAAAGCAGACTGAGCAAACCAGTAAGCAGCATCCTCCATGGCCTCTGCATTTCCTCCTGCCTCCAGGTTCTTAACCTGCTGAGTTCCTGTCCTGACCTCCTTCGGTGATGAACTAAGATGTGGAAGTGTAAGCCAAACAAACCCTTCCTCCCCAAGTTGCTTTGGTGGTGGTGCACACCTTTAATCCCAGCACTTGAGAAGCAAAGGCAGGCGGATTTCTGTGAGTTCAAGACCAACCTGGTCAACAGAGCAAGCCTCAGGCCAGCCAGGTCTACAGAGAGAAGCCCTATCTCAGAAATCAAAAATAAGTAAATAAAGTAAATAAAAACCCTAACTAAGACATCCACTAGAGGAAATTCAGTGAGCACTTTCTGGAACTGCTAAGATGAAAGCTTCAGTCTTCACATTCTTGCGCTCTCCCTGTATTTGGTAGTACAGTCAAGAGTTGAGATGCTTTCCAAAGAATGTTGTACGTTTTAATTGGGTGAGTAAAAACAGTGAGTTTGGGGTATTGCCCAGGCTTTCTTCTTTATACATTTTATTGGTCCATTCAAGAAACAGATGTGTTATTTCTCTTCAGCATCATTAAGCTGCCTTTCAGGAATTATAACAATCACTGAAGTAAGAGACACAGTCTGTTGTTTTCTGGCACATAGATATAACACATTAGCGATGCACTCAGAGTCACCAATAATTTGCTGATATTGCATTAAGCAAAGAAATCAAAGCCCTTCCCCGTGATGTTATTGAACCAAGAGCGTTCCAGATTCAAATCCTCTACTTGACTTTCCCCATGCCTTCCAACCGCTGCCTGCTTTAGGAGTCTGAATCTGTTCCTGCTTGAAGGCTGTGTGAATCAGTTGCCGTATATGTGTGTCTGCCTATGTCCGTGTGTCTGTCTCTGCTAAGGGGCTTTGCTCTGCCTTTATTGAACAGCCCAGAAAACACCACTTGAGGGACATGTTACAAAAATCTTTAATGGAGTTTCACAAGGGGTTAAGGCACTGACTCCAGCTGACCCCATTTGGGTATCGTGGATAGCCATTTAAAAGACTGCCCTCGGCCGTTTGCTGTTCCCAGTGAATGCTTATCATAGCATGCGTGCCCTGCTCTGTGTCGGGGCATGGATGGCACCTAACTAAGATGACAGCTGTGCATTATCTCGTAATCCAGGGCAGTGAGGTTGATTGTTACATTGTTCTGTAAAAGTGGAATACACAGTAATCCAGGGCAGTGGGGTTGATTGGTATATTGTTCTGTTAAAGTGGAATACACAGTAATCCAGGGCAGTGGGGTTGATTGTTACATTGTTCTCTTAAAAGCAGGCTAAGCCAACGAGCTGGGTACACAGTAGGACAGCAATGATCTAGAGCCCCTTAAATGACCTTAAGGTGCATTGTTAACTCTGGCTGTGAGGTCCAACAAGAGTTACAGACTGTTAGGATATAAGAGATGTAACCTCAGTATTTTGAGACAGGGTTTCTCCGTGTAGCTTTGGAGCCTGTCCTGGAACTCACCCTGTGGACCATCATGTGACATCGCATAGCAGGGTTGGACTCAGTGAGTCACTCTCGTCCCTCTGGAATTGAGTCAGCTTTGTTAGATTTTGTTTCTTTATTAAATAGAGTGCAACCATAATTGATCTCGATGACACTGAATGGCTAGTTACTGTCAGCTGAAGCTACACAGACTGAACAGTTCCTGTGGAATATGTGCAAAGGAAAGGGGCTCTAGATCAATGCAGTGTACTGAGACAATGACAACAGGCGTGCGGAGCCTAGTTAACAGACTGTGAATGTAACCTGCTTTATTGCTGCTTTATTGGGGCATCGTGAAGTTGTGCTTTCTTACACCAGCAGCACTGATAATGGAAAGTAATTAAGAAAATAAAGCTTCAAAACTCAGACTCTTAAACATTTCGTGTGTATGTGTGTGCTTGCATATGTATGCTTGCATGCATGCATGTGTTTATGTGTGTGCAACTGTGTATATCTGCTTGTATATATGTGTTTCTGTACATGCATGTATATATGTGTGTGCATGTGTGTACCTTTTTAAATGTCTTATGTGTACTGAAATGAAAATTATGGGAATTTCCCCCATAATTGAGTGTCCAAAGATACCGTTTGCCAACTATGAAGCTGCTTATAAAAGTGTAAGACTGGAGAGATGGCTCAGCAGTTAAACTGCTTCTGGCTCTCACAGAGGACTTGGGTGTGGTTCCTAGCGCACACTTCCTGGCTTACAGCACCAGTAGCTCCGGTTCCAGGACTGACACCATCTTCTAACCTGTGGGCATCTGCACATACGTGGGTCACATAAATCTACTCAGGCACACATAGAGGTAGGTAGATAATAAGACACTTGTTTTGTTTTCTACTTTGGTAGAATATGTAAATTTCTCAGGTTTTGTTGTTTCCCTTTGGTTTGGGGTGATTTGTTTGTTTGTTTTGTTTTGTTTGTTGACTATGTGAGGTAGAGAATCCAGGGCTAGTCCATGTCAAAGCTACACAAGTATTTTACCACTGAGCTACATTCTCAGAATATTATTATTTAAATAGAATAATTTAACCTTGGTTTGTAATGGTCATCTAGCAGAAGGGTTTTATTTCTTTATTTGTCTTTTTGAGATGGGGTATGGCTATGTTACCCATATGAACTTTGAACTGCTGAGCTAAAGTAGCCTCCTGGCTCCTAGGTATAACCGGGGTTCTACCACTGCGCCACCACACCTGGCGTGGTAGAATTTTAAGACAAGAAGCTAAGTGCGTTCAAAGGATTAACACAAGCCTGATATGAAACAATTATAACATACTTTAGAAGGTAAGTAGTTGAAATGGAAAAGCTGGTCCTAGCAGACGTGAAACAGCCATCGAGTGTGCAGCGCGTGTGGGTGCCCCTACCCTACCGAGATCTCAGGGCTGTGCATCAACCCTTTTGTTCTCCATAGGACTGAAAATATAATTGGTTGCACAACTTTTGAATTTAAATTAATGGGAGTTTGAGTTTTTATTCCCTAATAGAGTCACAAAAGGTTCTTCTGATACATAGGGATTCTCAAGAAAATTTGAAAGATTTCTGGCAAAGTTAATGACATTTATTTAGGAAAGGCTTAGTAGAATGGAAATTTGAATAAATGTAAACAAGGAAATTCCTGATTTCTTATTAACAGGGATAAAGCGTTTGACAAGTTTAACAGATTGAGAATCTTTTTTCTTCTTTGCTTTTTATACCCATGATGCATTTCCAAGTACGTTAGTTATTTACTGCAGTCTAATCATCTAGATAAGTGGTTTATAACATGAAAATGAACTGTCATCGAATGGATTCCTGTTGGCCATGTGACGACTTCACAGCCACATTCAGGGTGTTGTGCTTTGCCAGTAGACGGCTGGCCTAGTGTGGCCAGATAAATTATTTCCAAAAAAGTTGAGCTTTACGACCATTTAAATAACCACTGAGGCAGCCGAATGGGTGGCACATGCCATTAATCCCATCACTTGAGAGGCAGAGACAGGTGGATCTCTGTGTGTTCGAGGCCATCCTGGTCTAACAGAGCTAGTTCCAGGACAGCCTGGACTACACAGAGAAACCCCTGTCTCGAAAAACAAAACAAAGCAAAAGCCACTGAGGCAGTTGGTCCTATAAAAAGAATAAGCCTGAGAAAGTAACTGCTGCCTGAGCTTTGTTGGCTGCTCCGTTTGTAAAGTCAGCCTTGGAGTTTGAAGACGACACAGGTAACGAGCAACTTCCTCTCAGTGATTAGCCAGAAATGTTGTGTTAATAATTCAGCCAAGCCTTGTGAATGCAGGTGTGGTGGTGCATGCCTTTTCCGTGTTTTGAGACGGTTTTGTTGTGTGGCTGCCTGCTCTGAACTTGAGATTCTCCCGTCTCAGCTTCTTCAGCTTACCTTACTGGTGTGGGCCACCACAGCCTGCACAGTGAACGCTTTTAATCCTAGCTCAGGAGGCAGCAGCAGGTGGATCTCTGCACATGGAGACTACCTGTTCGTTTCCCGGCTGCCCAGACCCAACTTAATCATACAGAAACTGTATTAATTAAAACACTGCTTGGCCTATTAGCTTAGGCATATTTCTAGCTAACTCTTATGTCTTAAATTAACACATCTCTATTAATCTGTGTATCACCGTGTGGTTGTGGCCTCCTGGCATCTGTCTCCTGTGGCGACTCCATGGTGTCTCTCTGACTCTGCCTACTTTCTCCCAGCATTCAGTTTAGTTTTTCTGCCTAGCTCTATTTTGCCCTGCCATAGGCCTAAGCAGCTTTTTTATTCATCAACCAATAAAAGCAACACATAGACAGAAGGACCTCCCACATTAGATTTCTGTGAGTAGAAATCCAGCTTTGTCTACACAGTGAATTCCAGGACAGCCTAGGCTACATAGTGAGACCCTGTCTCAAAAAATTTTTTTTCAGTTGATTTTAGTGAACCTTACAATATTTCAAATTTAGACAAGACCACTTGCAATTGAATTGTTTTAAACTAGTTTTGGTGTTTACATACTTTTCCAAGTATGGTAAATAATTTAACTGGAGTTATTTTTTTAAGCTTAAAGCTCTTTTAATGAAAAAAGGTAAGTTTAATCTCTTTAAATTAATAAAAAAAAAAGTGCAGCTTTTTATAGCACTGTGTCCCATGGCACGGCAGTACATGAAGTGCCGTGCAGGTTTTGTCGGATTACGGCCCGCTATAGTTTGTTCCTGTTTTCCCTGGGCCCTAATGTCTGAATAAAGGGGGGAGGTAGAAAGTGAACACAGCCCAGACAGAGTGTAACGACCTCATACCTTCTACCTTTTCACTTTTAAGATAAAGATCCAGACGTGAGCACCAAGGAGAATGTGGATGACTTTGGCCTGCAAGACGCCCTGAGCAGCGAATCTGCAGATCTCTTTGCTTCAGCAGCAGAGGTGAGAGAAGTCATGTTCATGGTGAGGTGGTGTGCCATTGCATGACACAGTTGCTGTGTGTGTGTGTGTGTGTGTGTGTGTGCATGCATGTGTGCGCGCGTGTGCCCACACGCGTTGCCCTCAAGTATGTCTCTGCATTACATTTGTGCCTGATGCCCACAGGGGCCAAGAGAGGCCTTTCGGTGCCCTGGAGCTGAAGTCACAGATGGTTTTTAGCTACCATACGGTTGGTGGGAGTTGAACCAGGCCGGCAAGAGCAGCCCAGTGCTCATACCCATCAAGTCATCTCTCTAGCCCTACCTGGTGTTTTTCTTCACTTTTGTTTCAGACAGGGTTTTGCTCTATACCCCATGCTGGCCTCGAACTCACAGTTCTCTTTCTTCACTCTTCTGAGACTGGAATTAAGTATATAATCTAGCAACATTGTCTTTCTAGAACCTAGAGAGATTACTCAGCAGTTAAAATCGCTGACTGCTCTCCCCGAAGACTCAGATTCTATTCCGGCCTTCACATGGGCCTAATTCAGGATTCTGTACTGACCTGCCTTGGGGTCCTGACAGGATGTGTCCTCAGCTGCAGCCACTAAGAGAACCTCTGGCTCACATTCACACGTTCCCTTTTAAAAGGACCCTGCCCACCTCCTGTCTCTCCCTTGTTATCTCTCTGACTCCATCTGTCTGTCTGCCTGTCTCTGTCTCTGTCTCTCTGTCTCTCTCTCTCTCTCTCTCTCGCTCTTTCTCTCTCTCTCTCCCACTCTCTCCTGCTACTCCTGTCCCCAGATGCTGGTCTCCCCACCCCTCCTCCCTTTTTCTATTCACTTCCCCCAATAGAAAAACCCTTCACCAGAGCTCTGTCGCATGGTGACTTTCTCTCTCCCCCTGGTTTGTTTTTTGTGTTTTTTTTTTTAATTACAACACCCACATCCTTGAAAAATTTGAGGCCAGCCTGGGGTATTAAAATTCTGTCTCATAACAACCAGCCAAATATATATCTTTATGGAGATACTGTAAAATATCCTCTAGTCCCAAGGAATTCAGTTCCCTCTTTTGGCCTCTGTGGGCTCCAGGCACACACATGATGTACATGTAGACAGAATACCCAAACACAATAAAATTTTAGAATATTTTCTCTTAATTCCTTTCTAATATATAACTTGAAAATACTTTTTGGTTTGGAAACATGTTGGTGGTGTAGTGCCTGTGCACCACACACCAGGTGCTGGGCTGGAGCTCCCCATACAGGGACATCTCTTTCTTTTCAGATATTTGTCAGGCACACAGTACTGCTTAGAGTGCAGAAGTTTCGTACATTTTTAACTTCTCATAGCAAAAAATGCATGAATATGTATAAGAAGGTGACAACATTTTTTTGTTTGGTTGGTTTTGGTTTTTTGAGACAGGATTTTTCTGTGTAACAGTCCAAGCTATCCTGGATCTAGCTCTATAGACCAGACTGGCTTTGAACTCACAGAGATCTCCCTGCCTCTGCCTCCCAAGTGCTGGGATTAAAGGTGTGTGCCACCACCACCCAGCAATATTTAAGAAATATTTTAGCACTGTTTCCAAAGTATAACTCAGAATATGAGTGTTCCAAGATAAATTCTTTTGTAAGTAATTATAGCTGAACGTGATCATATGCACCTTTAATCCCAGGACTCTGGGAGGCAGGCAAATTTCTGAATTTGATGCCAGCCTGGTCTACAGATAGAGTTCCAGGACAGCCAGAGCTGCATAGTGAGATCCTGCTTCAGGGGAAGAAAAGATGAAAGAAAGGAAGAAAGGATCATAATCCTGAGAAGTTAAACAATGTGTGATAACTTGATAGATTTATTCAGAATAAAAGATCTGTTTTCCCTGTTGAGTAAGACAATTACTACAATAAGCTTTTCTTTAAACTAGGCCAATCATTTGTCAAAGTGATTGACAAAATTTTCCTATATGTAAGCTTTGCTGCAAGTTGATTTAGCTCATTTCCAATGATAGCTGAAAATTCTTTTTGAGAAATATAATGATACCTGTGTTGCAGAATTTCGATCACATTGTGAACCCTGAGTTTGTGTTTACACTAACTAAATAAAATCAATCTTGGGTCAGGAGGCGGAGTCAGCAACTAGTTGACAGAAGGTAATTAAAGAGAGTCAGAGGGAGTCTGGAAGATGGATAGAGAGACACACAGGAAGTGGTAAGCAGGGACTTTGAGTGTGGCAGTCTCTTTTTGGTTTGGCTGAGCAGAAGGAGGCTGTTTTTCTGAGATGCCTGAGAAGAGGGAAGCTCAGCCACCTGCTCCTCAACCTCTGAGCTGGCAGTCTCCAGCCTCTGACTCTTGAGTCTTTTTTATAAATGTTCTATTTATAAATATATGAACATTTATATATTTTTAATTTATTTTAGAAAATAAAAATTTAGTTTTTAACTAAATCTCTATTAGAACAATAGTTTTAGTTCTAAGATAACAACATTCCTCAAGTGTCTGTTACCAAGGATTTGCACTACAGGCTCAGCTTCCCTGCGCTGAAGTGTTTGATTCCAGTGTGTTTTATATGTGTGTGTGTAGAAACACACACACGCACACACATATAATTTAGAGTGTTTGCATAATAATGACATATTTGGAGTACAAGTCTAGACACAAAATTCATTTATATTGTAGCTAGAGAAATGGCCCAGCACTTGTTCTTGTCAAAGACATGGGTTTGGTTCCCACCAACCACATAGTGATTCACAACCATCCAAACGCACATGTGATGCACATACACACATGTAGCCAAAACGTTAATATATGTAAAACAAATAAATTTATCTGTCATATAGCCTGAAGGTAATTGTAGGTAATATGTATGATTTTTCGTTTGTGATAGCACGTCTGCACACAGGCTACAAGTTATGCACCATCCTGGGGTGGGTTTTCATACCTGTGTGATAAATGCTAAGTTATGTTAGTGACAGTAGATACCAGAAGGCTGTTATTTCCTAGCCAGTGAGTGCTATAGCACCGAGATCAGAACTAACCTGATTTTTCTCTGTGGTCAGATTTACTGTCCTAAATAATGTTGTCATAAAAGGTAAAGAAACCTTAGTGTTTGTGAAGCCGCACAGGTCCAGAAGGCTCTCCTCTGGTTGCTGAGCCTCCCTCCTGTAACCTTCGTTCAGTCATTGACGTTTTACTTCTTCTGCTCCTTCTCTCTCTTTAATTATCCTGGCAGTTTCCAGGAGAGCACAGCTGTGCTTGGGGCCGCGAGATGCGGGCTGTGCCCTGCAGGAAGGGAGCCATAGACTGCTGAGCGAGTTAAAGGCCACCTCCCCGTCAGCTCAGCTTTGAACTCCCTGCACCGTGGCGTCAGGGGAAGGCTTCAGGACGTTGGTTCTCTCCTATGGGAGTCCTCGGGTTATTAGGCTTGATGCAAGTAACTTTGCCCACCTCTCTGGCCCTAAGCCACATGTACATATAGTACCTTACCCACGAGCCACCTCCTTGGCCCACATGGCCCACATGTATATTAGTCTGGATGTTGCTGGTTACATGACAGCTTCTGTGGCATTTAGATATGACAGCGAGACAGTGTAGTCTGATTGAGAGCATAAGGTCTGAAGCTGGAGCAATGGCACACTTAAGTGTCTGCTGCACAGCGTGAAGGTCTGAGTTCGAGCCCCGGGCCTGTGTCATGAGACAAGTGCTGGGATTAGCACCTGCAAGCTCAGAATCTGGATATAAGATACAGACGAGCCCCTGGGACTTGCTGGGGAGCCAGTCTTACTAAATCAGCAATTCTAGGTTTAGTGAAAGATCCCATTTTTAAAAATAGAGGGAAATGGTCACGGTATACACCAGACATTAACCTTAAGCCTGCACATGCACACACAGCAAAAAGCCTACGTTCTGGAATATTATGTCTGGGTTCAAATTTAAGTGTTTGCTTCTAGGACTTAAAGCACAGTTCCTGTTACTGTGAATCTCAGCTCCTTTGCCTGTATGTCACAATAGTAGTCTTACCCAAGTTACGATCTGATGGAAGGAATAAATGGGGTCATTTACTGTAGCACAGTTCACAAAAACCCAGAGACAGATATTGGGGTTCTCCCTGAAGGTCAAGAAAGCAAAGCAGCTAGACACTGGCTCTTAACCTCTACCTAAGTCTAGAAGGCGATTCTGCTTCCAGAAACCTCAGAATGAGACTGTGAGAGCTGTCTCCTCCCGTCTTATTCCTCTCTAGGACTGGGATTAAAGGCATACAATGCCCAGTTTCTATGGCAACTGGGATTAAAGGTGTGTGTCACCTCTGCCTGGTCTGTAAGGCTGACCAGTGGGGCTGTTTTACTCTCTGATCTTCAGGCAAGCTTTATTTATGAAAATACAAATAAGATCTCACTGCAATTTAAAGCATGCAACACTGCACCAGCTGCACGTGAAATGCAGAAGCTGTGGCCTGCACCGGAGCTGCTGGGGTTTGAGTGCAGACATCCAGGGCTGGTGCTGTGGCTCCTGAGTATGCTGCTTCCCACCTGCACAAGGCCCAGGGTTTGAGCCTAAGCGGGAGGAAGAAGACTGAAAAACTCCCCCAGAAAACAAGGAGACTATTTTGGCGTAAATTGTCAATAACAAAACTTCCAGAGTTCTGATAAAACTTGGCAAATCCAGACAGCAGACCCTTGAGAGGAGCGGCGAGCTGCGCCAGCGCTCTTCACTGCTCAGTTCTCTCTGCAGAAGTCTGCAAAGCCAGGGCTTGTCGCTGCTGTGCCGTCCTCTTGGCCTCTACAGGAAAGAACTTACTGGGGCTGGCACTTCGCTCAAGGACAGTCAGAATTTGACCTGTGTGGCAGCTTCCAAGAGCAGGATTCTCAGTATTTGGCTTTTTGTTTTTGTTTAGTTTCATTTGGTTTTGGTGTTATGAGACAGGTCTTACTCTATAGTCCTGGCTATCCTGGAACTCCCTAAGAAGACCAGGCTAGCTTTGAACTCACAGAGATCTGCTATCCTCAAAGACACCAAAATCTTATAAAGATGGTAAAGCAAGAAAAAAAAGTTTACAGAGTGCATATCTAATAAAAGACTTGCGTGTCTACTATATAAAGAACTCTTACAATTAAATATGAAATAGGTAAGTAGCCTAATGTAAAAATGGGCAAATTAAGTAGAAAATTGAATAGACATTTCTCCAAAGAGAAAATACAAATGGCCAATAAGATGAAAACCTGCTTAATATTATTGGTCATTTTGCAATGCAAATGGGTTCTCATCTGCTATAGTTGTTATAATAACAGTGGAGACGCAGTAGTTATGAAAGGGTGTGTATACATTGCTGGCAGAGCTGGAACATGGATAGCCACTTTGCAAAACAGTCTGGCAGTTCCTCAAGCAGAAAAACACATAGGTACCATCTGACCCTTCTGTTTTTATGTGCCAGAAAAGTTGAAAACATAGATTTTTTGAACTTGTATACAAATATTCATAGCAGCCTGTTCATGATCCCCAGAAGTGGGAAAACCTGTAGTCCATCACTGAAGAATGGTTAAACAAATGTAGTATGTCCGTTCACCAGAGTCTCGTCTTCTTAAAGATTTGTCTACATGTCTTTATTATTTCATGTGCATGTGTGAGTAATCTGCATGTATGTATGTATGTATGTATGTATACACATGTACCACATGCTGCTTTGTACACATGGCGGTCAGAAGAGAGCAGCAAATCCCTTGAACTCGAAGGTGGTTGTGAGTTGCCTGGTATAGGAACTGTGAACCAAACCCAGGTCCTCTATGAGAACAGAAAGTACTCTTGACCGCTGAGCCGTCTCTCCAGCTCCCATGATCCATAGAAAGGAGTGAGCCGCTGGTGTATGGTATCTCACAATAGAACCTTGAAAGCACACTAAGTGAATCAGCCAAACACACAAGGCCACATACTGGCTAATTGCATTTTCTCAGCAGGACACTCTGGTTTCCAAGTAGTGGCTTCCAGAAACAAGGAGAGGAGGATGGGGACAGCGCTGATGGAGAAGAGGCCACTTGGTAGAGAGACAGATATGTTCTTGGAAGTACTGTGGCTGCACAACTCTGGGTGTTGCAAAGCCAGCGAGCTGTATACCTTAGCTGGGTGGATACTACGGCACGCGAGATGAATTCCAGTAATACTGCTTAGAGCTGGGGCTATAACCGAGGAGGTAGAGTGTTTGCGTATTGTGCAGAGACCTAGGTTCTCTCCCCGTAGTGCCATTAAAAAAAAATACAGCGTCCCAGGAAGCGGATGACTTGGGATTTCTGTGTAGCTGGCCGCCTGGTAGTATTTGCAGGTTGTTTTTTAATGAAGTGTCAGGCTGGAATTTTATTTATAGAGTTATTAGATTCTATTGGAAGAGTCAGAAAGCATTATCTTTCAGTTACATAAAAGCTGACCAAAGTCACATAGAAGACAGAATTCCTTACAGCAGTTAGTTACAAGTTAGATTTGTATCTGTTTTCTTCAGTTCTGTCGTGTGAGTTTGCAGTGTTCTTTGTATGATTAAAAACCCTCTTCCTCAACAGTTATTCTGCCTTTTGCACACCTTGTAGATTTAAGTAGTTGCATTCAAAATGCTAAGCTTGTTAAGTATTACTCATTTGGGTTGAGACAAGATCCCATCATGTGACTCTGGCTAGTCTGGAACAGGCTATGTAGCAAGGCCCGCTTCCTGGGTGCTGGGATTAAAGGTGTGAGCCACCATGCCCAACTAATTCTACCCTTTATAACGATTGAAGTTTTGCAAAGGATTTCATTTCTAATTGTGTGTTGATGTGTATCTGTGAGTAGGTACGTGTGTGTGAGCACAGGTGCCCATGGAAGCCAGAGCTCCCGACTCTCCTGGAGCCGGAATTGCCAGAGGTTATCAGTCTCCGGCGTGGGTGCTGGGACCCAAGGATGCTGCAAATCATGCCTCAGGCAGCTCTGCAGCCAGTGCCTGAGATTTTGCCCTTTGGTTTCTCTGCTGAGACAGGATCTTGCTCATGTTAGTCATGTTAGTCCAGGCTCACCTTGAACTTTAACAACTGAAATTTGAATTACAGTAATGTTTGGTTGTGGTTACATAAAATGTTAGTGATTTTTGTGGCTTAGTCACATTTAGCTTATTTTGGTAATATGAAAATTCTAGGTTTTTAAAATAGTTCTTATTCCTTCGGTAACTCGTTTTTCTGCATCTCTAGCTGACGGAGCACAGAGAAGTGCGGCACACCTACAGCCTGGATTCCTTCTGCCGCTGCCCGTTCTACGAAGAAGCAATGCATTTAGTTGAAGAAGGAAAAATTTACTCCAGAGTACTGAGGTATTATTCCAGTTTGGCTTATGGCTAATAATTTATTTTAGTGGCTATATTTTTAAGGTGCTCTTGCTTTTTATTTATTTATTTATTTATTTATTTATTTATTTATTTATTTATTTATTTATTTTCTTCAAGACAAGGTTTCATTGTGTAGCTTTGGAATCTGTAGACCAGGCTGTCTTTGAACTCACAGACATCCACCTGCCTCTGCCTCCCAAATTCTGGGATTCAAGGCGTGCACCACTGCCCAGCGCTGTTGCTCTTTTTTATGTGTGTTATTAAATTGTGCTTATGACTATGGGAAAATGCATTTTTGGTCCGTGGTGTCAGTGTGCGGAGGACGTGGTGGAGCCCCACACAAGCCCGGGTTTGCAGAAGGCTGCTCCTGGAGGAAACCTAACACTCTCTCCTCGTCGTCCTGTAGAACTGAGATGCTGGAGTGCCTCGGAGACAGCGACTTCCTGGCCAAACTCCACTGTATTCGGCAGGCTTTTCAGGTATGTCTTACAGCAGTAAGCGATGTCTCGTCGCTGTTCTGGCTGCCCGTGGCAGATAGCAGATGCCCGTCAGCTGAGTCTCTTCTCCACCCATGCTGCTCACCTCCAGCTCCACGCCCTTCCCACACCTCCCAGGTCCGCCACGCTTTGTCTGGACAGAGCACTGGCATGGTCTAAGTGTATGAAAACGGCTGCTTAAAATGACTCCTTGTTCTTATCAAGTAGTGTATAGTTAGATTTCTAAAATTTGAATCAATGATTAAAAGTACTGATTTCCTTTAGAGAAGTGAGGTTGTTAATAATAAAACCAGAATTGCTGGCACACACTTTTAATTCCAACACTCTTTGTGAGTTCGAGGCCAGCCTGGTCTATCTAAGGAGTTCTAGGCCAGCCAGAGTGCCAAAAAACAAAAACAAAATTTACCTTAGATTTGTTTTTTAAATTTCAAGATTTGTTGGGCAGTGGTGACACATGCCTTTAATTCCAGCACTTGGGAGGTAGAGGCAGGTGGATCTCTCTCTGTGAGTATAAGACCATCCTGGTCTACAGAGTGAGTTCCAGGACAGCCATGGCTGTTACATAGGGAAACCCTGCCTCAGAAAACAAACAAAAGCCATTTTTTTCCATAATGACTTTTATTTGTGTGTGTGTGTGTGTGTGTGTGTGTGTGTGTGTGTGTGTGTGTGTAGGTACACTGAGCGCAGGTGTCCATGGAGGCCGGAAGAGGATATCAGATAGCGCAGGGCTGGAACTGGAGGTGGTTTTAAGCTGCCCAGCATGGGTGCTGGGAACCAAACTTCCATCCCCTGCAAAAACAGTGCATGCTCTTAACCCCTAAGCCCAGCTCTTCACCCTAGATATTTAATTGTCTAAAACAATTTAAATTCAAATTTACCTGCCTTTGACCTTTTCTGATCACTGGATGTAAGAGCTCTCTTTGTCTCTGAACTTGGACTTCCTCCATTTCTGGTGCTGACCTAGCACTGTGCAGTCATGAACTGTCTCGGGTCCCTCGTGTGTCCACGGACTGTCCCGGGTCCCTCGTGTGTCCACGGACCATCCCGGGTCCCTCGTGTGTCCATGGACTGTCTCAGGTCCCTCGTGTGCCCACGGATCGTCCCAGGTCCCTCGTGTGTCCACGAACTGTCCCGGGTCCCTCGTGTGTCTACAAGACTGTCTCGGGTCCCTCGTGTGTCCACGGACCGTCCTGGGTCCCTCGTGTGTCCACGGACTATTTCGGGTCCCTTATGTATCCCTGGTCACTCGAATCCATCCTCACTGTGGGATCTGGTATTTTCCAGGTGATTCTCTCAGAAGCAGCCAACAGGATATTCCTGGCTGAGAGTGGAAGGAAGATTTTATCAGCTTTAATTGTGAAAGCACGGAAGGTAAATTATTCTCTACACAAGTTTTGTTTTCACCAGGTGTATCTAAGACTAAATAATAAAATACGAGGGACTGGTGAGATCGCTCAGCAGGTAAAGGTCCTTGTCACCAAAGTGACAACCTGAGTTTGAGCCCCAGAATCCAAATGATCAAGGATCAACTCTAGCAGGGTATTCTCACACAGGCATATGGCACCTGTCTACCAGGTGAAGAAATTTTTAAGATTAAAATACATTAAAATTTTGATAGTGGAAGAAATCTCTGTAAGTAATTGGAAAGACCGAGCTGCCTGGCACTGCTCTTCACCGGCTGAGTGAGGCGGAGACACTGATACGAGCTTAGTTCAGACCGCAGAGGAACCACATTACTTTCTGCAGGCTTGTCCAGGTTAAAACAAACAAACCTACCTGGGATCCAGCGCCAGTCCCGTTCACTCTCAGGTCCCTCATCTGTGTTGTAGAGCTGCATTCATTTTACCCGACTTCAGAAACTGTTGTGATTGAATAAGTGATATGTGGGAAGTACCTTAAAGTGCACAGTACTAGTGACTCTCGGGTGACTGTGTCCTTGCAGGTCACAGCATAAATCCTGGGTTGCTTTCTTGGCCTTCCTTTTTTTTTCCATTTATCTTACATACCAACCACAGTTTCCCCTCCGTCCTCTCTTCCCGTCACCTCCCCCCACATCCCCTCTGTGGCACCCCCATCCATTCCTCCTTCATCTCCATTCAGAAAGGGGCAGGCCTTCCATGGGAGTCAACACAGCCTAGCACATCAAGCTGAAGCAGGACTAAGCTCCTCCCCCTGCATCAAGGTTGGTTGGCCTTCCTAGTGTAGATAAGCCCTGGGGTTTGAACCAGTTCCTCCAGGAGGAGCCAAGCTGCACGGGAAGAACCCCAGCCTTCTGCTGGAATCCCGTTTCCATCTTAAAGTCTGAGCTGCAGTTTGCTGTGAAGCCTTCCTAACGTTCTCGTTCTTGGCTTCTGTGAACTAGAGTAGCAGGTGGTAAGTGGAGGGCGAGAGTGTAGACTGAGTGGTTAGCCTGCCGTGTAATGGGGCTGAGTTCAAACCCAGCACTGTATAGACCAGGCATGGGGGCACATCTGTAATCCC